ACTGCCATTATTGTCTACAATGGAGACCACGCTATCAGGAAGGGGTTCTGCCTAACTGTCTGGACCCTCTAAGCAGCAAAACACAGACATAGGGCAAAAGGCAGTAGGAGACAAACTAGACCAGAGGAAGTGTGAGGCAAGCACATTTATGTGCCTTTTAAAAAGATGCACCTAGTAAAAATAAAATATTGTCACATTTGATAAGAAAAAGGCAGTATCCTCAATACAGAGGCCTTATGAAGGAGCAGAGAGAAGAGCCATAGTTTTTAAAATGGAGACAGATGTGAGCAGAGCCATATAAGAAAGACAAAGCAAATGATTAATTTTTTAAAAATTCAAAATCAAACAACAGAGAGATGCAGGGTATCGTTTGGGGGATGTCACTCATCACATTGAAATACTTGTAACTGAAGTGTCACAAGGCCTGGTGATTACAGGCCTGTAACCCCAGCTATTGGAGAGATTAAGGCAAGAATACAAGTTAAAGCAAGCCAAGACTACCAGAGGGAGTTCAAGACTAGCCTGGGAAACTTAATGGGACTGTGTCTCAGAAACAAATAAATGAATTAAATGAATGGGTTATAGCCCACTGGAGCGTGTGCAAGGTCCTGCACTTGGGCCTAGTACTACAAAGAACAACAAATGCCCTATTGGGCTGGCAAAGCTGTGTGAGATGGAAACTGGGAAAAATGAACCTTGAAAGTGGTTGGGGGAGCTGCCCATTAGGGTCAGTGTGACAGAATTATCAAAGGAAGAAAACAGACTGCTTGCCTAGATGTGTAAGGCCCTGAATATGATTCCCAGCAATAAAGAAGATGAGAAGAAAGGAGACAGGAGAAGAGGAGGATAAGAAGGGAAAGGAAAGGAGTGGGGACAGGCACAGAGGAGCTGGGGGGGGGGGAGGGAGAGAAAGAACAAGAAAAGGGGAGAGGAGGAAGAAAGGAAAAAGAAAGAAATTTGTTTTTAAAAGTACTTTGGTCATAAAGGAACTATTCATGTCATTGCATTATGTAGAAAATCCCAGCATTGTAACTGAAGGAAAGCATGAAATCAATTATGTGTATGAATGCATGCTATATATAGTAAACTACATAGTTGGATCAAAATGTGTATATAAAGATTGTTAGAAATTTTCTCTGCATTTTGTAAGATCTCCAGCAATTTGTTTACTTCTTTCTACATTCCATGGGTATTTTAGTAAATCATATAAAAGTAGAAAATGTTTCTCGAGCTGAGAAAGAAATCAGAGAAACATCACCCTTTACAATTGCCACAAATAACATAAAATACCTTGGGGTAACACTAACCAAAAACGTGAAAGACCTGTATCATAAGAATTTTGAGTCTCTAAAGAAAGGAATTAAAGAAGTTACCAGAACATGGAAGGATCTCCCATGTTCTTGGATAGATAGGATCAACATAGTAAAAATGGCAATCTTGCCAAAAGCAGTATACAGATTCAATGCAATCCCCATCAAGATCCCAGCACAATTCTTCACAGACCTTGAAAGAACAATTCTCAACTTTATACGGAAAAACAAAAGACCCAGGATATCCAAAACAACCCTGTACAATAACGGAACTTCTGGAGGCATCACCATCCCTGACTTCAAGCTCTATTACAGAGCTATAGTCCTGAAAACATCTTGGTATTGGCACAAAAGTAGACAGGTAGATGAATGGAATCGACTTGAAAACCGATATTAACTCACATACCTACGAACACCTGTTAATATCAGGGTTTTCAATTCGATTCCAACCCCACATCTGACAGAGAACTGATTTCCAAAATACACAAAGAACTCAAGAAACCAGTCTCCAAAACACCAACTAATCAAATTAAAAAGTGGAGTACAGAACAAAATAGAAAATTATCAATAGAGGAATCTAAAATGCCTGAAAGACACATAAGAAAGTGTTCAACATCCTTAGCCATCAGGGGAATGCAAATCAAAACAACTCTGAGATACCATCTTACTCCTGTCAGAATGGCTAAAATCAAAAACACCAATGAGTCTGTGCTAGAGAGGATGTGGAGAAAGGGGAACACTCCTCCACTGCTTGTGGGAGTAACAACTCATACAGCCACTTTGGAAATCAGCATGGCAGTTCCTCAGGAAAATGAGAATCAGTCTACCACAAGATCCAGCAATTCCACTCTTAGGCATATACCCAAAAGATGCACATTCATACAACAAGGACATCTGTTCAACCATGTTCATAGCAGAATTGTTTGTAATAGCCAGAACCTGGAAGCAACCTAGATTTCCCTCAACCGAAGAATGGATAGAGAAAATGTGGTACATTTATACAATGGAGTACTACTCAGCAGAAAAAAAAAATGGAATCTTGAAATTGGCAGGCAAATGGATGGAACTAGAAGAAACCATTCTGAGCGAGGTAACCCAATCACAAAAAGACAAAAGTGGCATGTTTTCACTCATATATGAACTTTAGACCTAGAGAAAAGAAGTAGCAGCCTACAATCCACACCACCAGAGAAGCTAAGAAACAAGAAGTACCCTAAGAGAGACATGCATTGTCCCCCGGAGAAGGGGAAAGGGACAAGGTCTCCTAAGCTAATGGGGAGCATGGGGGAGGGGAGAGGGAGTTAGAAGAAAGAGAAGGGGAGAAGAGGGGAGAGGAGGATATGAGGGAACAGGAAGATCTAGTCAGGGGAAGAATAGAGGAGAGCAAGAAAAGAGATACCATCATAGAGGGAGCCATTATAGGTTTAAAGAGAATTCTGGCACTAGGGAAATATCCAGAGATCTACAAGGTTGACCCCAACTAACAATCTAAGCAATAATCAAGAGGCTACCTTAAATGCCCTTCTCCGATAATGAGATTGATGACTACCTTATATGCCATCCTAGTGCCTTCAGCCAGCAGCTGATGGAAGCAGAAGCAGACACAGAAACTCACAGCTAAACACTGAGCTGAACTCTGGAATCCAGTTTAAGAGAGGGAGAAGTGATGAGCAAAGGGATCAAGACCAGGCTGGAGAAACCCACTGAAACAGCTGACCTGAACAAGGGGTTGCTCATGGACCCCAGACTGATAGCTGGGAAACCAGCATAGGACTGTTCCAGAGGCCCTGAAGGAGGAAGTCAGTTTGGAGGTCTGAGCAATCTATGGGTCCACTGGTAGTGGATCAGTATTTACCCCTCGTACACAAATGGACTTTGGGAGCCCTCTCCTCATTAGAGGGATACTCTCTCAGCCTAGACACACTGGAGAGGGTCTAGTCCCTGCTCCAAATGATATCATAGACTTTGAAGATCCCCCATGGAAGGCCTCACCCTTCCTGGGGAGCAAAAAGGGGTCAGGATAGGGGGTCGGTGGGGGCCAGGGGAGGAGAGGAGGGAGAGGGAACTGAGATTAACATGTAAAAGAAGCTCATCTCTAATTTTAAAAAGAAAAAGAAAATGGTTCTCTTTCAAGGGCTTCTGATTGCCATCGAATCCCTCCTCCATTCTTCCTTCTCAGTTGCTCTCATCCTAAGTTTCCTTTTTTTAAAATGTGCATTTGTATTTTGCTTCCATGTATGTCTGTGTGAGGGTATCAGAGTCCCCTGGAACTAGAGTGGCAGACAGTTGCAAGCTGCCATGTGGTTTCTGGGAATCGAACCCAGATTCTCTGGAAGAGTGTCTAGTGCTCTTAACTGCTATGCCATCTCTGCAGCACCCCAAGATTCTATCTTGAACTTCCCTACACTAAGGCTGACCATTCCCATAAACACATTGTGAGTCAGACTCCTGAAGACATACCACAGACTTGTTTAAGTGACCTGTGGAGATGAGTTAGCACTTAGCAGAGAAGAGCTTGCTTTTGTTTTGACAGGAGGGGGAAGTGATGTTCACAGGCATCTCCACCTCACCTCCCCTTCACATACCTGTCCTAGAATTGTCTGTTGAGAACCAAGGTCAGTGTGACCTGAGACACATCTGCACTATGCACATTCTTTTTGTCTGTCCTCAGTAGGAGCATGCCCTTCCTTTTGAGTTATTTTAGCTTGTATTTGAATTATTTTAAAGAGATGGTTTTTGCAAAGTCAAGGATATGACTCCAGATGAGACAGACAGATCAATGGTGCCATGTCGAGTGTCTACCCTCTGCCCACTGTGAGGCTGGTTTTCTCATGTATCTTAGAAGTAAGGAGCACAGAAATAAGTTGGTCTTTGACAGTGCGAATAAAACACTGTACATCTGCCAGAAGCCAGGATATGGGGTAAAAAGCATAAGGGCTTAAACCAATGACAATGACAGAGTTCAAAGGCAACTCTCCTGCTCACCAGCTTTGTGGTTTGGGGACGTTAATTTCTCAGAGTTGCAAATCTTCCCAGCTGTAAAGTGTATGTGGAGGGTGGGCATATCCAAGCCCTCCCCAGACTCCGTTGAGAAGCATTCATCAGGACCCTGTCTCCAGAGGGACCCAGAAAAGAACCTGTGTGCGCTTGGTCTTTGCCACTTTCTAGGGGTTGCTGCTTTGAGGACACAAGGACAGTTTGATTGGGAATCTATAAGGAAGAAGTCCAGCTATCAGACAGTTGACAACTATCACCCTAACCCTGCCACATGTCACTTTGAGCAATTATGTATTTTCCTGTGTGTTAGGATGTACCTCTGGGAAATGGGAGCTCAGAGCATCCAATACTCAAGGGACTAATGTATTCTGTATGTTGCTCAGAACTTAGCAAAAGTTACTTCATTGCTCAGTTATTTGAGACATGTTTTTCCACATTGTAAATAAAATAGGAACACAATATAATCTAATCTAAACACAAATAAAATCTAAACACAACGAAGTATCTGTTCTTTTCAATTCATTTGGTTTGTAGTTGGGTAGCTGTGAGTTATACCTAGCTCTCTCCATTGTCCCCTATCCTGCCCTCAGCTAAGAGTTCCTATGGGTAGCAACCATGTAGGGTCATGGCTATACAGCAAGCCTTGGTTATACTGCCATGTCTTAATATAGCTGTTGCTTCCTTTCTTGGCAGGTCCTTCAAACCAGACTTCATCCTGGTCCGACAGCATGCCTACAGCATGGCCCTGGCTGAGGACTACCGCAGCCTTGTCATCGGCCTTCAGTATGGAGGACTTCCTGCTGTCAACTCTCTCTACTCTGTATACAACTTCTGCAGCAAGCCCTGGGTGGTAGGTTACAGACACCCCACATGGAGGGAACAGGGAAGCATCTGGTGGTCTCCCAGCCTTAAATGGCTCCATTCACCATACAGAGCCTCAGCAAGGAGAAGAATCTTATTTAAGAAACTGAACAAGCAACTTGACCCCAGGTCTTTTCTGGGAATTTCAGCCTGAAAAATATTATGTATAACACATTGTGATACAGGATTGTGTTATAGTCGTGTTAGTCTTGCTGGGGATATAGCTCAGTTGCTAGAGTGCTGAACTCAATCTCCAGTACTTCAAAAACCAGATGTGGTGGTGCATATCTCTAATCCCAGAACTAAGGAGATGCAGGCAGGAGGATCAGTCAAGGTCATCCTTGGCTATGTAGTAAGAGTTCCAGGCCAGCCCAGGCTATGGGAGACCCTGACTCAAACAAACAAACGTATCTTGTTTTTAACATCCTAATATAATTTTCTTATTGTTGCTTTTCAAGTTTTCAAACACTTACTGGATACCAGAAAATTGCTACAGATACCCATGTAGTTGAAGATGGCATCATTCCTCTGTCCTACAGAGGAGAAGGCTTAGCTTCAGAACTCTCTGGGATCTTAGGGCTAGACAAAGCCCTCTTTCTCCAGCTCTCACATTGCTGTTTCCCCATTGATTCACTAGTCAATTGGTTTACTCCAGTTTCCATTCAAGTGTTATCCAAAAACAAAGGATCTTCCTAAAATACCAGCCCTCCTCTACTCCCTCAAATAATCTCCATCCCTAACTCCACTTTGTTACCCCACACATGGTCTGCACCTAAATGACACCATTCCTTTACCTCTCATTTATCTCCCTTAATACAAGCAATGTAGCCACACACATACATAGTTATGGCACCAGAGTACCTGCCTCTTAGCCCCATTCTAGTGAAACAGTCTATTAACAAATATGACAACTGTGTCATCTGTCCTCAGGGAAAAACAAAGGAGGCTCAGAGGTGTGGAGAAAATGCTATGAAATGTCTCAGCTCTCTGGTTGGTTGCCTGTCTGTCATCACCTGAGAGTGAAGAACACTAGAGTCTGGGCACTGGAGCCGGATTGACCAAGGCCAAGTTTCTCCACTTATGTGTGCCCTCGAGCAACTGCATTAGCCTCTCTGAACTTGGTGCCCTTATTTAGAAAAGGATGGTAATAATAGGGTTTTCCTGGTTTCCAGTGGGGAGCATGTAAAGTGTTTATAATGGTGGCCAGCACACAGCATACCCTAAAAAATGGTGGCAACAATTCTTGCTTCTTATACATGGACTAAGTCTAGGCTGGAATGGCTCTCAGTATTTGTTGAATGACTACTTGAGTTAATATAATAAGTGTGGCTAGTCTTGGCTGCTGCCATCCTTGCTGTTTGTCTCTTTATATCATAACTAAGGGTTTTGACTCATGGAACCTAAGATTTGAATGCCATGAGAAGGAAACAGTCCATAATTTTGACAGCAGCAACTTAATTAGCACTCACTATGCCTTGTGCTAATACCTACATCCTAGGTATCCCCACTGCACAAAAGAAACCGAAACCCACATAACTGACAGTAAGAGCTGTAGTTCTTCTCCAAAACCCACAGTGTAGCTATGGAGTTGCATTTCCTTTCTGAACTCCAGCTTCCTTATCTGTAAAATGAAGGACATCCCCAAATGGTTCTCCAAGCCTTTTATAATGACTCAGTTCTGTGCTACAATGTGAGGTATTCCCCAAGAGTGCACAGGAACCCAGTATAGAGCAGGAATTTCCCCAGCATCCTTATTTCTCTGTCAAAGATATTGGCGTTTTCCTGGCATAAAATGTGACTCTTCTTCTAGCCATGAGGTACCTATGTTTGCAGAGTCCAAGTTGTTCTTTTGTTATCCAGCTATAATTCTTCTTTGCCTTCTGAGTGAATAAGAAGACACTTGGTCCAGCCTTTTAAAATTCATGATTGCTTGTGATGGACCACTCTTTGCCTGCTTCCTTACCATCCCCTGCTGCACCTGAGGCCACAACCATGGAAGCCATTGAAGGCCTTCAGAAACAGTGGTCTCCTTGAATATACAGAGTACCCTTCTTCCTCTTACGGCATAGGTCCGAGGAGCCTTCCTGATGACCCCTGCCCTCTTTGTACCAAATTCCCCATGTTTCCCACCAGCAATACCTTAGCATCTCAACCTTGTAGTGTTGCCTGTCTTCCCCTAGGCCCAGCCTAGCAGGCTTGGAGTGTTGTCCTGATCATGCACAATGCCAGGCGCCATGTGAGCTCTGCACAGCCACTGGATCTGACCCTTACTCTGGAAGCACAAGCTAATCTAAGGTCCCATTAAGAAGTGAAGAGATACATGCTGTACAGTGGGGACCTGTCTGAATGTTTGCAATGTATAGTTGTAAAAGCAGAAGAAATATTACTCACTACCTACTACCATGAATTAGGTAGTAGTGTCCTAGCAATCCAGCGAGTGAGATTTTTGTATCTTCGCCGTTTACAAATTAGGAAACAGGTTTCTGGACCTGCCTCTCCAGGTCTTATAGCTATAACAGTAAGAATTTGAATGAGAGAGTCTGATCTCAGAGTGAATGTCATGAAGTGCCTACAGTGCTGTCCTAGAAATACAGACATTGCAGGCAGAAGGATGGCAGAACCTCCAGCAGGGTGTATGTACTGGGGCCAAGGACTTTGTGTGAAATGGCTGAGAATGCAGTTAAGTGCTCATAAAATTTAGTCGAACTGAAGACAGTGACCTGCCTACCTTCTGGGTCAGGGGCAGGCACAAAGGATAAAAGAGAAGATGATACCCAAGCCAAGGAAGTTGGCTTTTTATCGTGGTGGTGAGAAACAGCTTCTAGAAGTTAACACAGGGCAGATGTTTGAAGACCAGAGTCAAGTGAGCAACCCTGGCTGGCTAATGAACTCTCCCTTTCTCTCCCAGTTCTCTCAGCTCATTAAGATCTTCCATTCTTTGGGTCCTGAGAAGTTTCCACTCGTGGAGCAAACATTTTTCCCGAACCACAAGCCAATGGTGAGTGCCTTTTTAGCTCTGCTTATCTTCATGATTCAGGATGCCCTTACGTGTCTGTCTCCTGAGTCTCTCTGGGTGGCTCACAGCTTGCTTCCTGGTTACTTGGCCTTCACCTGGGAACCTTCATGGCCTGTGCTTGTTGGAATGTCTAGTGCTCACTGGGGGAAGGATCAGCTTCCCCAGAGGAATTTCAGGCAATAGAGCAAGTGACAAAGGTCCTTGGCATTCTGTGAAACACATCAAGGGACTTCTTAAGCTGCCATGGAACCAAAGGTTGAGTATAAAGGGCAAAACTATTTTTATGCTAAAATGTTACCTTCAATACACTTTTCCTGGGACCTGGTTTCCACTGTAATTTTAATAAAAGCTGTGATATTTTACTTGAGGTGATTATTAAAGATGCAATTTGCTTATATGTCCAATTTCCTTTCTTTGAAGCTCACCTGTATTCTCTCTGGGAGTCTACTAGGACTGAGGTGGGCTTTGTTACCTATTTGGGAGGTTTAGGACTAATGTCCTCAGTTGGAGTTTTGGTAGAAGAGTTGTGAGCTGCTGGAACCAGCCTACAGTATGCCTGCTTATGTGACTGGTGCATGGTCAGTGCACTCAGCCTTGCAGGGAATAAGGACCTCGGGGAGCAAGAGTAATATGTACTCATCCTAGCTAGGGACAGTGGTCTGCTTAGATTTCAGGCTCTGGCTGCTGAGCTGGACAGGTCCACTTATAAACACTGCCAGGTAGGACTGCAGGCTTCAGTGGGAGCAACCTAGCCAGTTAGTGGCTCTCATTAGTTGTCTATCTGCTGTATCTACCCATCAGTCACAAAATCCAGGATGTCTGAGGCTCTCATTGGTTGTCTGTCTACTGTATCTACTGGGATGTCTGCTTGGTCTGAGTAGGTGTAATGGTAAATCTGAGTTATCAATTTGATTGGAATGAACCCAGGTTAGTAATGAACTTTCTAGGTGTCTGTCAGGGATTAACTGAGCCAGGAAAGACCAACTTGGAATGTGGGTAGCATGCCATCTATGAAGTTGGGGGCCCAGATGAGATTAAAGGAAACGGAGGAAGGCTGAGGCTTAGGCATTGTTTTTTATTTCAGTCTACCATGATGAAAGCTGCTGGTCCTCCTGGGCACAGTGAACCAAAGCCTCTGAAACCAGGAACCAAAAGAAAATCACCAACCCACCCCTCCCACCCCCCACATACCATGAGATATTTCTTTCTGGTGTTTGGTCACTACAATGACACGGTCTGAATAACACGGAACCTATATAAACTAACACAAGAAATTCAGTGTTGGCCTTCAAAGTAGTTAATTACTAATCACTGACCAGTCTACTGACTAGATTTTAGACAAGAATTTAACCTCATTGAGAGTGGTAGAACCATAAAAGGTTGATAAGGGTCTGTGCAGGTGTATGTCTAATTCTGTGCCTGGCATATAGTGGGTGCTCAGAGTGGAGAATCTTTATAACAGGGGCAAAGGCCCTATTTGAACACTGGGAAAGGAGGGCTCATAGTTAAGTGGTGGTGTATAATGGAGAGAAGCTCACTGAGTGCTGGGAGGAGCTCACCAGTTGTCCTCCTAGGTCCTCAGGAATTCCTAGCATTCCCAAGGATTTCAGTAAGACCATTGGCATCAAGTATGGCTGCCTGCAAGCTTCCATTCCCACTCAGACCATGGGATTCTTAGGGGAAAACATGAGTTAGATTGACACAGGTCCCAGCCCTTTTCACCCACAAGTGATTAGACAGAGGTCTTTTGAACACTGGTCTAGGGGGAATCCTGCCAGTAGAATGAAGGAGTAAAGTTAGTGCTGGGTTAGCAGCCATAGGGGGCTAAGGATACTCTCCTGGAATCTGTTGTAAAATAAAAGGCTTAGTGAAGGTGGCCCTAAATGTAGACATGAGTGGAAGGAGGCTGTGTACAGGAGTGTGGAGGATGGGCAGCATTTGCTTGCAAGATCCTCTCTGATAACAATATAATCCCCCAAGACAGGACAGAAGAAGGCAAGAGACATCAGGTGTGTGATAGAAATAAAACCACTTTACTGTTTAGAATAAAGGACACACTATAAAAAGTGAACATTATGCAACATTACAAGACAATATACATTCACGGAATATAAAATTCATAAATAACATGGAGGAAAACTGTAAACAGTGCTACAAAATTTAGCAACAAATACATTCCTTCTAGACAGGGTTTTCTCTGGTTGGTGTCTCTTCATCATTACTGGGCTTCAGCACAGGCAACTGGCTAGAGGAAAAGTAGTCATAGAGAATCTAAGGTACCCCTGTCCTCAGAGCATTTAGGTCCTCTCCTCCTAAATCCAGACAGCCAATTTAGATCTGCTGAGATGATCTCTCCTGCCTTTTCCAATTTCATTGTACTTCTGCCATTATATTAATATTTTTTACGTTTCTCTCTAATCCAATATTTTAAGTAGCTGGGAGCCAACCACCTGTATGCCACCTTGGCATGAGACAGGGAAGGTAATGGCTCCTGGACCCACATTATCTCCCAGACAGATCTATCCCCAAAAGTCATTGGGGATCCTTTATTGTTTAAGAAGTACAGCATGAAACAGTGTTTGTATGGCAGGGCAAGGGCTGGAGAAGGTAGGCACTAGGGTTTTCCTAAGCTCCCTACCCAGGCTGTAACAGATGCTAGCCTGGGAAAGAAGAGCCTGTGTGTAGGAATTCCTTGGCTGGGAGACAGAAACGATGCCTGGATGAGACAAAGAGAGCTTGGAGTCATGGTTGCCATGGCCCCAGTCTCTGCAGAAACCATAGCTTCCTGGTTGAGTAGGAGAAAGGTCTTGGGAAGTGGGTGGCAGATGACCCAGGGATAATTGATACTGGACAAGAGTGTACTTTGTTTTTGTTTTGTTAGTTTTATTTTTCTTCTTCTCCTTCCCACCCTTGGGATTCCATGGGGAGGAGGTCGGGGAGGCTGTTTCTAGTACCTTCTATCTCCTTGAACTCCAGTCTAGCTGAGTGCTTGAGTCCCAGTGTTCTGCCCTCCATTCTACTATAGAATTTGAATCAGGAAAATGGCATGTGGATTTCTTTCTTTCTTTTTTTTTTTTTCCTTCTTTTCTTATACACAGTTTACACAGGACAGCCTACACATGGCACATGATTTAGCAAAATAAAACATTCATGATATGATTGAAATAACAAAGTGTCTCAGCTACATAAACGATTTTAAATTATACAGTAAGTGAACAGGTGAAATAAAGTGAAATAAACAAAGCTATAGCTTATAGAAAGCTCAGAAACCGCCCTCTGGTGACGTGATTTTTCCAGAAGACCCCTCCTTGCCATGACGTGTCACCAGGGCCTCAACAGCCACGGGGACCATGGTTCTGCCAGCTGATTTTATCTTCAGGTTAACATCAGGTGCCTCACACTCAGGCCTCACTTTGTCTCTCCCTCTAGGAGTGAAGTGATCACACATCGAGAATGACTAACGACCTCTTAGAAGAGACACTGGGGTGCACATATGGGATGACACTTGAGCAGGGTAGATCCAGAGACCCATGTTAGGAGGCTCTGAGTAAAGAACCCCAAACAGTAAGTCGCCCCTTAAGAACCACTGGCTTGCTGACCTTACCTCCTTCTCCACATGTGGGAAGGGCCATGCCTTCTGTTCCCTGTGAGCACAGGGCAATGAAATCAGCCAAGAGGAAACTTGACACCCATTGCCTGAACTGTCTTCCTACTCTGCTATTCCATCAAACACCAGGCCAAAGCATTGGTGTATGTGGGGTGGGGTGGGGAGCAGACACTAGAGGAACATGTTGGCTTTTCTCTCTCTCTTTCTACTTATAATTGGTAACTATGTTTTCTAAAGTGGAAATAACTGAAAATATGATACTGATAGAGGATAAATACCCATAGTCTGAAAAGAGACAGAGAGTAATTATGTTAAATGTCACCACCTTACCACCTCAACTCTGTAAAATACACATTATCACCTACTATTGGCAATGCATTTTTGACACTAAAACTTAAAATAATCTTACTTAATAGGAAAATTTATATTATAGTTTTATTTTAAAAACAAAAATACAATACAACAAAAGGCCTACAGTTTGACAGCAGAGCCTGGCTCTCTTGGTGACCAACCATGTTCATTCTGTGAAGTGACCACCTCAGGAGGTAATGTTCACCCACTGCTGATCTGGGGAAGATATGTCCCCAGATGCAGGAGAGGAGGCATTCCACAGAGGCAGGATGCTGTGCATCCCTGTGTCCCTATGTCTCTCTCATGTGAAGGCCCCTAACCTACACTCACACTCACCTGCCACCAGCTGGCCAGTAAGGCAATTAAGTGAAGGCCACCAGAACACAGAGCAGAAGGAAGAAAGGAGGTGAGAGGTCAGATGATCCCAGTTATAGGGACAAGAGGGTGCTGAGGGTTTTCAGAGTTTCAAATGTTTAATTCAAATGAAAAAAAAAAACTCAACTTGGAATGTCACAATTTCCCATCAAACAACAAAAGAGATTAAACTGTTTGCATTTTTAACAGCATTGAATAGAATTCTGTGTCCTATAAAAATTAGCTCATAATCCCCTGTGGGTATATGAAAATGTGTATATAAACACGTCCCCCTAGATGAGCTAAACACTACTTTGGAAATAGTATTCTCTACCCAAATCTACTTTACTATATCTGTGGATAGTGTCTGGTGTATATTTCTCCAGCTTACATATCGGCAAGCTCTGAACCAAACTTCCCCAAGAATTCCCAGGAGGATGTCTAATGGGAGGCAAGAGGAAAGATGTTCATCTCAACCCTTTGTCTGAGTTTTTGTACAAACAGACAGGCTATCTGTTGAACTCAGGCAGATGTTTAAGTCTTCATCAACGTGGAAAGTTCTGTTACTCTGACATGGATGCTTGCTCCAAAATCTGAAACATCTGGTCAACGCAAGTATCACTGAACTGGGGAATTGTGTGTCATCTTAGACCCGCTCCTGCAGTTTGCC